GCTGGGAATTCCAGCTCCAGCCTGAAAATTCTGGTTGTTCTTGGATTGAAAACAGGCCGATCCTCCTAAACAGACTGTTGATAATGTAGTGACATGAATGGTGGATATCAGAAGTGAAAGAAAGAAGGATGGAGTTTAAAAAGATGTCCCTTCTGCCACACATTTTGATCATCTGAAGAAGTTATTCCCTTCAACAAAACAGTAACTTCCAATGCTAGTTTCCTTGAATTTATGGCATTGGTGGGTTCAATGGAGTCCCCAGAAACTAGAGAGCAGTAGTTATATTTTGCATATTAGAATGACGCGAACCTCGAATATGTATCTACTACCAAATACACATACTTTGAGTTGTCGGAAGAATCCATATTATCACTCAAAGGCGAGGATCACCGTGGAAGAGCGAGTGCCTTCTTACAAGATGGTCGGCTTCTGGCGTCCGGCTTTCTAATCAGCTGGTTCTAAGATATTCAGGCTTGAAGGGAGACCCTTGTTGAAAAGTGATAGATGTGTACTACCCGGAGATTGGCATTTGGCATGTTCTATTGATTCATTGACCACAAAGCGCTAATATATAATACTATGCAGTCACTTTGGGATGGCTTTTCTATCAGGAAACGAATCGAGCAAGTCGAACCTCAAAGTCGGAAGAGATCTCTGACATGCTTTGTCTATTCTCAGAATGCTTCCCATTCGCCCTTCATCGCCTGACGGATAGTGGATCTTGGCTTCAGCGAGGATATACTGGCCGGATGAGTGCTTGAGATTTCGTATTGCTTGGACGGCAGCTTGGTTGTCAGTGAAAAACTTGTAGCTTGTCTTTGATTGAGCGTGTCATCCTTAGAGCAGAGGCCATGCAAATCTTCTCCGTATATCGTTTCAATTGACCAAATGCTCTGGGTATATATATGAGCTTCATCCCGCCTTGGATTCATGTTTCTTTCGATTCCTCCCGCCGCGAACCCTTCTCTTCATTATCCTTCTAAGAGGATTCTTGTCACAGAAGATGCTTTTCAAATAAATACTCTTTAATAGCCAAATGTCACAATATTTAAAAGCTGTTAAAAAATCCATGTGTTCTAGCATCTGATGAGATCTTCATATCTCAGATAGTAATACAAGAAAATGTCTATGTGAAACTTGAGAACTTGAGAACTCTCACTCAAATTGAGTAATTTCATATATCTAAAAATATTTCAAGCTGAGCTAACTGAGTTGCACAGCAATTTAAAAGAATCATTTTATTCTATGCAAACCTTCTGTAAGTCTCAGGAATTTGGCGATCCGACGATCTGGCGTGGTTGGTACGGACCCACGTAGTTTTTGTCGCGATCACGGCAGTCTACAATTGTTTTGAATATGTGTGAAGATATTTAAATGTATTTTTTGTTGATTATATTGACTCATCTGCAACAGAAAACCCGTGCTGTTGGCTCTTCACAAGAAAATCAAAATAAAAAAAATCAGACAATCATTCAAATTACAAAAAGTAAAGATCTATAAAGTATTATGTGAAGTAGATGTGAAAAGTGAAACTACAACACAGTAGTAATAAGATGAAATCAAAAAATATAGAGAGAGAAAAGTGTGCACAGTA